CGAAAAGAATTATAATTACTGCTATCATCAGAATCATCATCAACGGATGTCGTGTGCTGTTCACACACTGTGTGCAATTTTCCCGCCTGAGCGACAAATGGATGTGTCTACTGAGATATTATCCTTACTCTACTGTTATAATTTTCCTTTCTTTATCGCTCCCTGGAACAGAATGTGTTTCACTATCACCCTAACCTTTACACGAGAGGAATACATTTTATCAATAATATGTGGAAATACGTCAAATGAAATATATAGAAAAGTTTTATGTACATTTCGTTAAGTGGAATCGATTTTTAAACATAGCTTGACGAAAATATTGCGCATTCAAACAACCTTCGTATCTCCTGAACTGATGGAAAACGTCGGCCTGACATTGCTGATCTCTTCAGTGTCTTCAACACTGAAGCGTTCTTCTTGATATTGGCCATCAGATTCTTCGTCGTCGTAGGGTTCTTGCTGAACAAGCAAACCAATCTTTTCGCCCAACCATCTCGTCTTCTTTACCACATCATCCTGCATCAGCTTGAAGCACATCGCAATAAGCGCCATTCCAACTAACAGATACAAGGAGCATATGATTAGCTTCTCTTCAGAGCCGCTGTCCAAAAATTTCCCCGGAACCATATCACCAAAGCCTATAGAAAAAACAGCATTAGATAACAGTTATGTCCTGTTAGAGCAATGATGAAGAAATCCCGATTTCATTTCTACTAAAATGACTACTCGATATGAACGAACTGAAAGAACCTGGAAGCAGAAGTGTGAGAGATCGATAAGGACATGCAGAACCCTGTTGTTTGGGGAGATTTGAATTTTCTTCAATACTGGAGATGACAAGGGTTGCTAATTTGTTTGGTGATCCGATGCAACCCATTAAAAGAAAGCGAGAAGCAACTTAACTTTCAGTAACAGGGATTCATACTGTCAACATTTCACACGTGAGATCAACCGCATTAGCATAGGTGGTAGAATGGGTATGCGGAAACTGAACGACTAAAAAATCTGCTACTGGAAAGGCATATTGAAAATAATAAAGGGAAAGGAGATAATCTGATAGATATTCGTAGGGCATTGCAAACAACGTTGCTAAGATCAGAGATCGAAATACCCTGATGTGTTGCTTCTGCGGGATCCACTGGGTCGTCTTGCTGTAGAAAAATTTATTTGGACACGCATCAAGGAGTAGTATGTAGTGCTGTATGTCAAACAGTCTGTCGAGGTTCTTTAACCGTCTAAAAGGTCTACGTTGTTTTATTAACTGAAGAACATTGATTGACAATATGGTAAAGCCTGACCTGGTTTTTGCTGAATTCTTTGGGCAAATAAATAAATCTTTTTATAAATTCAGTTGAATTTCAGTCGGCCTTTGATCGGCTGAAAATAGTTGGCTGTCTGACCGAAAAGCAGACGTTTGAAACTATACCAACCTTGATAAACCTTATTAGAGACAATCACATTGCTGAGGATATGAAAATGCGAGGTTGCATTTTTTTGGTTGGCTTTTTCGAAAGCTGAGGTCAGGATGATTCAACAGACAACCGATCGAATTCGATGCTTTGAATGACAAGAGTTTCGATCAAGCTTTGAGATGAACAGCGTGACACAGTTGCTTGATAAAAATGAGGGATAACTGGATTAACGAATAATCCGAGCCTTGTCTGAACTCACCGATCGTAGTCAAGGTAATGAACGAAAAGTAGGCTCCGTCGAAAACGTTCCATCCCTCCCAGACAGCGAACAGCACGGCTCCGGCGAGAATGAACAGCAGCACGGTGACGATGCCGACGCTGACCGGCACTCGTTCCTCCTTCATGTGGATGATGATCTTCCGTTGAGTATGCAGACTCATTTCGTCCAGCCGCTTCGCGCCGTTGCTCAGGTAATCGCTTTGTATGGAGGCGGACTTCTCCGGAATTCCTGCTTTTACCGGCGACTTCTCAACGGACACTGCCAGCTCGTCTTCATTCACGCCGATGCCCATACTCGACGGCTTGACGGTGCTGTCGTTTATCGTAACGTGCGAGAACTAATTCGAAAGCAAGAATCAACTTTGAAGTGAGCGATGAAGATTTAGGCACATTGCAAATGTCCAAAGGCATAGATTAAGATTCAAGACTGAGATGAGATTTAGGTCTGTGACTAGCCATAGCTTTGGGCGCAGTTTCAGAACTGAGAGCAAAGTAGGAATATGATTTGAAGATTAGTCTTCACGAGGGTAGTGGCATGCATTCCAGTAAATGGTCAAAACTCGTATTATTGAAAGAACACGACCAGAGTTTTCAGGCTGTCCAAGGTCCAAGGCGGAAGGTAGAAAAGTGCTCTTTGATGCCCACGTTCAACCTTTTATGGCTCTTTCTAGATGAAGAAATTTGTGTCGGGAAGACCTCTAAATTGGACGTTCGAATCTAAGAATTTTTATCTTTTTTGCAACTTTGGTATTACCAAACATGCCATGTTGGAAGGGCGTTCCATCAGTCGGAAAGGGGTAGGCCTTTAGGTAAATCGACAGAGACCACTCTAGACTCGATCTTGTGATAAACCTTGACATTAAACATCGAATGTGCAATGAATACTGCTGTTTGATTGTGATAGGCCAAAGTTAAGATTGGGCCGTGAAACTGACAATCATATCTGAACTGACGCCGCGAATGACCCAGATCTGTCACTCACGCTTTCTGGTATTAATTACAATTTGTTCTATTTTCATGTTCATAATTCGGTTTATATACTTAACTCGGCTATAATATATATCACGGATGAGAAAGGAGTAGAGTTGGAGACCGTGGCGAGGTTTCCGTACGACTTAGCCACCTGCTCCTCATGGTACTACTGTCATCAAAAATTATACCGGCTCGGTCGTCGTCCGGGTTACCAAAGGCCCCGCAGGCTGTTGGGGGACTCAAGCAGACTGTGAAACGTCGCCGATCAGAACATACTCATCATCTTCTAGCAGCCGGGGGGTTAACGTAACAACAATAACTGACGAAGATGCCAGTCACTCGGAAGACGGAGGCGTTACTCGTTCTGAACAGAGCAAACAGCGCAATGCCATTATAGCATGTCAGAAAAGGCTCCACAGGAACAAGCCCGATAGTGTTAGCTTATAGGCTGAAACTGGAACAAGTCCTCATTCAGAGGAAAAGATCAGGAGCTATTCGATGATTCCGCAAGATACCACCCAACAAGACATAACTGGACTATTGTCAGCGAAGAACCAGGATTCTGGGATCCTGAACCTCTGCCGGCGGAAGCTATTGTTCTGGCAGAACCCAACTTGACTCATAGAATCATTGAATGGAGACTTGTCAACGTACAGGAGCAATCTCCGTATTAAGCTACAGCAGACTCCTGCTTTCACGTTGTTACAGGTCTACACGCCCAGTCTTGAGCCAGAACATGAAAACTTCCTTCAGGAAGTGGAAGGTGCTCCATATGAAGTGCCGAATACGGAGTCCCTCGTACTCATGGGCGATCTTAATGCTCATGTCCGAGTAGAATCTGACGAGCGGAACGGTGCGATTGAAAAAAACGGTCTTAACGACCTCAACAATAATGCCATGAAATTCTTTGCGGTTTTGTGCAAACAACGGATTGTCCATTACGAACACCTTCGAGCATCTAAAAGTGCATCAGTACACCTGGTACCGGAGAGCTAGTGCGCGGAAGTCGATGATCGATTTGATAATCGTATCGTCTGACCTAAGACGCTCAGTAATGGATGTTCGTGTTA